CCTTCTTTGACATAAGGATTTTCGATCCCATGCCGCATGTCACCGTAATCTAGCTCTCGACGCTGCACACAGGAGGAACGAGAATGAAAAGATTAGGGCATATGGGGAGAGAATCCTGAATGTTGATCAGGGCAGCTTCACTCCTCTGGTGTGAACAACCACTGGTGGGATGGGACCAAGTGCAAGATGTTTCTATGCCAGACTCGCGGAGGTGTTATCTGAACGGAAACAGCAGCCCAGAAGCTATGTTACAGCCTGGTTGAAATGTCGACTTTCCTTCTCTCTGCTTAGGTCTGCATCGCTCTGCCCCAGGCGAACGAGATCTTCGGCCCCAAAGCCGACAACGTTCTTAGATATTGACTATGAGGAAAGTCACTGATGCCGCATAGATCTGCGGCTCAACTGACTCAACATAGCTAGGGTAGCTACTTTTGTATTAGGATATTTTTTTTACGAGCATTAGCCCACCCGGGCACAGGTAATTTTTAATGACCCAAATCAAGGCCTGGGGGCGAAAATATAATAAAACAATAATAATGATAATACTAATGTAATAATAATAATAATCATAATAATAAAATTAATAAAAATAAATAAGAATTATAATATAATAAAATATTAATACTAATAAAAATTTTAAATAATAATAATAGTAATAATAATAATGAACCACAAATAAATAAAAAAATATCAAGAGTGATAAATGATATACTGTAAGTATATTGTGTTGTGAAAGTAAGAGAAACAATTGAGACCCTGCAATTGTGCGTAAATGAGGCAGAAAGTCAGATCCTCAACCTGGGACTAGGTCACAATTTTTGTGATGCCATATGCTTCCAATATTTTCCCAGGTAGTAGTACCTCCCTGATTGATTGCTGCCAGCTACCTACTGGCGGCGTAGGTGTGGTTATTGGGGGAGGCTGGAGGCACCATTAAAAAAAGTAATTTTGACAGTTCTAAGATACTTTTCTTAAATGGTATTTCTGGCGCTAATTACGTATAAGCGAGATATTTGACATTTTATTATGCATATTCATACGTGGCGGTTAGGTTAGGTTAGAGTTTTTATGTGCTTTGAACACTTTTTACTTTGTTTTTATAGCAAATCTCTAGATTCTAAGATTGATTTGTGCCAGAAATGAAGGTTCAAATTCCTCCATAACACATAAAAAAACATAGTTACAACTTCGATTTCGTAAAGTGGCAACACGTGTAAATTTACCAAATAAATATATATTAAGCTGTTCATTACTCCTCTGCCCTTTTCGATCCAATTTCCTCTGCTGTTCACCCACCACCCTACCCATCATCCCTCACTGACATACTATATCTACCACCCCTCACTGCCATCCCTTACCTATTGCCATAACCCGTTCAAGGTCCACTACCTTTGACTTAACTACTCATCGTGCCCAGCTTGCCACCGTTCCCTCCCCACCTCCTGTGAGCACAATTTATACATAAGTAGTAGTGATATGTTCAGTGTACTGTACACCCTATATGATTTGAGCAAATGAGTAAAGAAAAATAGTTGTAATATAATTTTGATATATCATTTCACCACTTATCAGTTACTAGTTGGTCGGTTGTTTCGTTGATACTTTGCTATGAACCTTATTGCCCAGTGTTAGTACAGGAGGAAACCGGAGTACCTGGAGAAAACCTGCGATGTTTGGTAGGGTCACACCCGAGACGAGACTCGAACCCAGAAAAAAATTCGTGAGATATGCGCATTACCGTTGTACCACCAACACCTCTTGATCACTATTGTGTCCAAATTCAGCTTTCTACCTCAAAAAATGCCAGAGATATCGCTCGGACAAACAAAAAAGGAAGCATACAAGTTAATAAGACAAATACAGTACCATGCTTAAAGTGCAAACACTTAAACTAATTTTCAAAAAGTTTAACTGCGTGGGAGAGAGGCATCCCTCTTGCCATTCATCAGTTCTTTAACTCATCGCCGCTTAGACTTCAAATTATGGCCAGATAAGATTAGGTAAACTGACTTTTCTCCTGGGAATTTTTTCTGAGGGTCTAAGTAAAAATACAAAGAAACTAAAATTAAACATACTGAAGATTATTACGCAATGCGGGAACTCTGGAAAGTTTCAAAAGGAGGCTAGATAGATTCATGGATGATGGAGAGTGGTAGTAGCTCTCGACAGGAGCTGCCATGCACAGGCCAACCGGCCTATTGCAGACTCCTTATTTTCTTATGTTCTTATGATAATATTGCAGTGGATTTCTCCCCTACAAACGTTTGTCGCTGAGTAGCCGACCCCGCGAATTCCCCAGTGTATGCCTCGTGGTCTAGGTCAACTATTAAGCCACGCCTACCTCCGCTATATAAGACCTGACCTCGTGGTGACCTACCTCTCTCCTCTTCTAGCTTCAGCCGCAGCAAGCTACACCACCTCCTCCTCCGCCGCTGCCTGGCGGCCCTCGCTCCCGCCGGCGAGCATGGCGACCCACAAGCTGTCCTACTCTGAGCATCCTCACCAACCAGCTCTCTCTACATCATGCTTGTAACCACGCTGCCTTCCCAGCACCAAGCTGCATTGTACATCCATTACAACATGTATACAGAGAGCACATTGTGAGTTTCCTTTCTCCATCCCATCCTGAGTGTGAACCAAACATCTCGTACCCCACAATATTATGTAGTTATAAATTAACTAAAAGTTAAATATACAGCAGAACCTTGTAATAAATACTAAAGATTTTTCTCAGCCACGAATAAGCCACTAAATATTAAACTAAATACTGAAATGCAGACCGGTAAAATAGTCACATGTCAACCCTAAAGTCTCACTAACTAGGATGCCGTGCAGCTTTGAGTCGCATACTATTAGAGTCATAAGACGACTGGTGGGGGAAGGGCAGGACCCGGCAGGGCAGACTCATACATAAGAAAATAAGGAGTCTGCAATAGGCCGGTTGGCCTGTGCATGGCAGCTCCTGTCGAGAGTTACTACCACTCTCTATCATCCATGAATCTATCTAGTCTCCTTTTGAAACTTTCCAGAGTTCCCGCACTTACTACAAAGTTGCTGAGCTTGTTCCACTCGTCCACCACCATATTTGTGAACCAGTTTCTTCCTATCTCCCTCCTAAACCTAAACTTATCCAACTTGAATTCGTTGCTCCGAGTCCTATCCTGCTCGGATATTATAAGAACTTTATCTATATCCCCTTTATTGATTCCTTTCACCCACTTAAATACTTCTATCATATCTCCCCGCACTCTTCGTCTTTCTAGGGAATGCAAGTTAAGTTTCTTTAACCTATCCTGATATGGAAGGTTTCTAAGTCCCGGCATCATTTTTGTCATTCTTCGCTGCACCGACTCTAGTGAATTTATATATCCATTCTATAATAGGGGCACCAGAACTGAACCGCATAATCGAGGTGCGGCCTGACTAGCGCAAGATATAGTTGCAATTAGACCTCTGCACTCTTGTTACTTACACTTCTAGATATAAAACCCAATACTCTGTTTGCCTTATTTCGAACATTAACGCACTGTTTTCTAGGCCGTAGGTCCGGGCTTAAAAGTACCCCTAGGTCTCTTTCACAAGTCGACTTCTCTAGGTTGATGTTGTTAAGGCTGTATACTATGTAAATCAAGGAAGATGTTTTAACATTCACAGTAAACGAAGTACAGAGCAACTCTTCCTCCGCTACTGGCTGGCCGCATTCCCTGCCTCGGTACCCCTCCCTTCTGGTACTACGACCCAGTGTGCGGTGATAGGTCCGCTCAACTTCAGGCTCTGCAGCTAATAGCAAGCCAACAGGAAAGCCAAGAAACAACAGTTGAGGTTAACACTGTGTTAGTACATGTAAAATGTCATGTATATTTATTTACACTCAATAAAAGTATTAAATCATTATTTCACGACTTCTGTGGGTGTGCTGATTACTGAACATTCTTATGCTCTTAAGAGACCATTGTCGTTGAAGCGTAGTAATAATAATATTACGTCAACGAGGAGGCGATATATGAGCCGGTACTGCATGTATAAATGACCCGCTCCACCGACTTGTAAAAATGGCTCACAAATATGCTAATCTTCCATTGATATGTGACACGAGGCCCACACGACGGATACCTTGGCTTAACTCGTTAATTACCTGCGCTAGGTAAGCCTAACTAAATTATGGGTCACACTGTTACTTATATACAGTACATGTAGACCACACTGTCGAAGTATATGTCACAACAACCGTAACACTGACAGGATATATAGGTCACACTGTCTGGGTATGCTTCACATAGTACAAAGTTTCAACTTTAACATCTGGAAAGGCAGGTTAGATTTTGTAAGGTTAGGATCATATTAGGTTGTAATCACCCGTGAGGACAGGAGTTTTACCATATTTAATGATTTAAGGAGCGCCCTTCAAGTCATTTATTCCACTCAACCCTCTGGATTTTGAGATATCGGAATGTCTCTTCCTAGTAGGGGACGTGGCTATCAGGTTGGTGTCTGCTGTACAGTAGATAAAAAAACTATCCTTACATAATTGTGTTAGATAATATGACACAATGGATAAAGGATTTTGGCAACCTTACTTGGCATTGAGACGGGTTACAGTGTTCATTCTGAAATTCATCGACCCCCCCCCTCCCCAAGTAGACTGTACAGTAAACGTGTTGGCAATGGAGAAAGCAGACAAGGCGGCGAGAGCCGGTTTCTCGTCCAGCCCTTGTGCTTCAACAAGTTCAACCATTTCCTCATCAAGATATGTGTCCCCATATTAGAATTGACGTTTGTAATGCCTGTCCATGTTGTTGGGATTCCACTGCGCTCCTGAACAAGCTCCAGATCATGACGGAAATAAGCCCAATGTAACGGAGGTGGAAAACTGTCTTGGCCGGCTTAGCATTGATCACTAGCACTCGGTCACTTGTCCGGAAATCCCAACCAGTAAGCTTGTGGGGTTATGAGATATTGGTTCACACTCAGGATGGGTTGGAGAAAGGAAACTCACAATGTGCTCTCTGTATACATATTGTATTGGATGTACAATGCAGCTTGGTGCTGGGGGGTGGCAGCGTGAGTCCAAGCGTGGTGTAGGGGAGAGCTGGTTACCGACCTTGACCACGAGGCGCAGGCTGAGGAATTCGAAGAGGGTCAGCTGGTCAGCGACACATAAGAACATAAGAAAATAAGGAGTCTGCAATAGGCCGGTTGGCCTGTGCATAGCAGCTCCTGTCGAGAATTACTACCACTCTCTATCATCCATGAATCTATCCAGTCTCCTTTTGAAACTTTCCAGCGTTTCAGCACTTACTACAAAGTTGCTAAGGTTGTTCCACTCGTCCACCACCCTATTTGTGAACCAGTTCCTTCCTATCTCCCTCCTAAACCTAAACTTATCCAACTTAAATCCGTTGCTCCGAGTCCTATCCTGCTCGGATATTATAAGAACTTTATCTATATCCCCTTTATTGATTCCTTTCACCCACTTAAATACTTCTATCATATCTCCCCGCACTCTTCGTCTTTCTAGGAAATGCAACTTTAGTTTCTTTAACCTATCCTGATATGGAAGGTTTCTAAGTCCCGGAATCATTTTCGTCATTCTTCGCTGCACCGAATCTATTGAATTGATATCCATTCAATAATAAGGGCACCAGAACTGAACAGCATAATCGAGGTGCGGCCTGACTAGCGCAAGATATAGTTGCAATAAGACCTCTGCACTCTTATTACTTTCACTTCTAGATATAAAACCCAATACTCTGTTTGCCTTATTTCGAACATTAACGCACTGTTTTCTCGGCCGTAGGTCCGGGCTTACAAGTACCCCTAGGTCTCTTTCACAAGTCGACTTCTCTAGGTTGATGTTGTTAAGGCTGTATACATTGACAGTATTTGTTCTTCCAATATTAAGTACGCTGCACTTGCTGGTGTTGAATTTCATTTGCCATTTTTCAGACCACCCCTGCAGTTTATTTAGATCCTCCTGTAATGCATTTGCATCCTGCCCTGAATTAATCTGCCTCTCTATTTTGGTGTCATCCGCAAACTTGCTTATGTCACTGCTGATCCCAGTATCTAGTGGGGAACCCCACTGGTTACACGGCTCCACTCAGATTTAACACCATCTACGCTGACCCTCTGCGTTCTATCGGTGAGCCATGATTTTATCCAATTTAAAACTTTCCCCTCGATACCATGAGCCTTAATTTTTCTCAGACGCCTCTGATGTGGTACTCTGTCAAATGCTTTGCTAAAGTCTAAGTAAATAACATCGTAATTTTCGTCATTATCTACTACCTCGAAGACTTTCCTAAAAAACGTCAGCAGATTTGTGAGACAAGATTTTTCCCTTTGTAGGGGAGGAATCCAAGGTAGGTAGATAACAGGTAGCCTCACGCAGGCCCATAGGAATTCACTAATTGACAACTCTACTCTCGAGATCGCTAAGCCACGCCCCTTGTGCCACTTCATGCATTTGTAATATTGTGGTATTATTATCTGTATAGATCCTTTCTCTAATCAAAATATACTAGCATAAAATGTTATTAATCAGATATATATTTAATAATATGTAATATACAGTGTATATTGCCATGTAAATTATACAATAAGAAAATGTTTGACGAAATTTACAATAAACGGGAACTCTGGTTGAATTGTAAAATATTCAATACATTTCCTCCCATTTTAATTTTATTTTGGCATTCTGGCTATTCCCAGCAGTCTGGAAACTGTTGCTTGACTTCATTAACTGGTTCTGACTGAAGCATCAACTGTTAATGCAGAAAATAAGTAAACACGTTTTATTTTACTCTAATTGATATACAAAAAAAGTGTGATGGTTTAAGAGTTACCGTACACACAACCATATCATATCCTTAAAAATGTAAATAATACATGATGTATGAAGAATGCATTTATATATTTCACACAGGTATCGCAATAACTTTACAAGTTACTATTGAGCCGGATATATTTTCATGTTATAACATTTAACAGACATAATAACTGTTTACGTTTTTCGTCTTTTTATTACACACACACATAAATACATACATACTCTCTCTCTCACACACACACACACACACGTAAATACACAACAAACACGTATAGAGAACATTATAGGCTACTGTCTGATGAGATACATTACTATAATTTATAAAAAAAAAATGGCCCATGGTAACAGTCTACTAGATTCATATTAAGTTATATTTTGACAATTGAAAATGCATTATGCATTATGTATAAAACAGGAAACAAAACGTATGCACATTTAATGGACTTACAATATATGATCTTCGTACGTTGTAGCATTCCTGATTTCACCTAATCCCGGTAGATTTATTGTTGGACGTGAGTGCGGGTTTAAAGAAAGCTTTACATTGTCTACTGCTAAATGGTAATTAAAACATTCAGGTTTAAAATGCACTGAACATATCCTATGCCACGACTTCACTTGTTTGGTGTTTTTTATATCTTTTCTTTTACAGGCATCTAGCCACTTTGCCCGTAACTTTATGTCCCGAGGGAATGAATAAAAAGATACAACCTTTTTCTTCTTTTCTGAGTTGAATTTGCAGGTGGCTACATCGCAATAAATAATCATTGTAAAAGAAAAACACTCCACTTTCACTTGTAAATATCCCGCTTGATGTAACTCAGTGGGCGGAGCTTAATAAGTGATGTCATCGCTAGCCAATCAGTGGCTCCAATTAAAATAAAAAATATCAATTCCATACATTTATTGTACAACTTTTAATACCATCATAAGCCTTCAAAAATACGCAAATAAAAATTTCATTTTTATTTTCATTAGCGTAGATCCTATGGGAGTGAGGCTCCTGTTATCTACCTCTACCTACCTTGGAGGAATCCACTACATGCTAAACACTTGCTAGTCGTCTTTTCAAGGCTGTGAAAGAGAAGGCGGCTTCTCTCCAAGACACAAGGATGGCATGGTAACCAGAAATAGCATCAATTGAAATAATAATAATAATAATAATAATAATTGGTGTAGGTACACAACAAAATATACTGTATATCGTAAACACTTATGAAAGTTATTTAAACATACAGTATTAGTCATCATGTTTTCACAAGTACCTGTTTTCCTGACAAATATTTACCATGCTTTAATTAAGATATTATTGCATACTAACACTGATTACAATGTGACAATTGTCACAACAGCCGCTTTTTCTGCTCATTGTAATACAATATTTGTAAGCAATTAAGATAAAATTTAATAGTAAGGAAAAGTCTATCATTTTTAATTTGATCCTTATTAATTTGGTTATTTTATTTTGAGGGGAAATTTCCAGGTCCGTATACTCGAAATAGCACATTAGACTGTTTCAACATATATTTAGAGATAAAACAAATATATTTTCTGGAACGAGCATGAGTTTTTGTTGATCTGAACCTTAAGCCGATATTTTAAAATATCAGGTGAAAAATCGAAAGTAACTACGGTATACTTGCATACTGTATGTGTACACGAAGGTTGTTGAAGTGGTGTACCATACTGGCGTCTTAAGCCGGTGGTAAGAGGAGGAAGAGTGGCTATAGTGAAACACACATGCCTGAAGGTAAATGCAGGTACCTTGGTCACGTGTTCACACCGAAAACTGGAAATACTGGATTTGTAACAACATCTTGCCCACGTGACCTCTCCAGTATAGGATCCAACAGTTTTTTATTCCTTGTATCATTAAGGACCCTTCCCCGATGCCACCATTAAGGACCCTTCCCCGATGCCAAGTAATAAAATAAATCTTCAACAAGTCTGAATAAACTACCTTAATAAAAGAGCCTGTCTTGAATTAAAAAAATGTCTTTGAAAAATAGGTTTAGGCCACGGCAATGATGCATGTACACAAGGTTTATTCTAGACTGTCATAGAAAAAATTAAAGGGATCTGAGGATGCTTCTAAACCATCTAAGAGGAGCCGGGGCGTTGAAGCTTCGAATCCTGGTGGTTTTTTTTTTTCCTCCTGTTTGGCCGAGGCTACGGGTGGCTCTGAGAACATTCCGAGTCTTGCCAACGTCGACGGTGTTTGTGTTGCTCAGCTTAAAAGTTTCACCGTAGTTATGAGAGGTTGGTAATTGTTTTCGTAATGTGCATGAATAATATTTGTGTAAAATAGTGTTTATGTAATATATATGACAAATAGTATTGTTTAGACAAAAAGCAAGTCATGATAGTGTATACTAGACACTTCCTCGAGGTGATGAATGACGGCAGGGGGAGTTGGGGTTCATCGACTGCAATCAAGTACTATAGTAGCAGTGTAAGCTAATAATGCAATATACGTAGTTTATTGGCAGTGCAGGTACTAGTATTCAAGTTTTCCATCACATCTCTGTGATATTGATTATAGCCAGAATTTGTCTTTTATTTGTTTACACTACCGTTAAATGATTCAACTAAACATACAAATGGGAAGTCTCGGTTAACCTCAGTATTCATGGTTTGAGGATACAAATCAAATGTATGTATATTCTGAAATTTCATAAAAAATTTGGATATTATTCGGTGTTACTGCCTACTCGTGTTCAACAAGAATTTTTTCTGGTGCATTTTAGTGTGTTTTCTTCGAATCTGACCTTCATTTCCTTGGGAATCGTTATTTTTTAGGAAATGAACAAATGCTTTTCCTCAAGAAATGACTCATGAATTTTTTCCAAGAAAATTAAGATATGAATCGAAGAAAATACCACAAATACACCGGAACAAATATGTTTTTTGTCACCAAATTAGGGGGGAATCGGGGGTTTGGAGGGGGGGAGAGAAATCTTTGTTAATATTTGTCGACACATGCTAAACTAACCTAACCTATTCTATTTTAGATCTAGTGCCTTGTTACCTAGCCGGAGCCCCATGAATGTATCTTGGCTTACCTTATGTAGGAGCATTGGAGTGACAGTACAAATTGCTAGCAGTAAGCAGATGCTGGGACTTAGGAAACTGATAAATAAGTATCTTGTCAAATACTTGGGGTAGATGAGACTTCTATTCCCAGACTGGAAAATCCATGACTTAACATCATGTTCGATGAGTTGATAATAATCAATAGCACATGCATCACACACCATTTCTAAATTAAAACTGGCCGCACATAATGCATTGTGATATAGGAAGTAAAATGGACATCAGCTATTGATCAGTTGCTACTTGCCTTGTGGTGATTGGTCAGTTGGAATTGGTATTTTTTTTTTCATCAATTTTTATTTTCATATTTCCTCAAAAACAATAACTTAGCATGAATGTTGAAGGTTAGCTTAAAGCATGCAGTATCACAAGTGAAAACGGCAGAAAAAATCCTAATTCTAACTGACACAAGTAGGCAGTATAATAATGAATAATAACCGCAAAGTTTCGCCTCAAAGATAAATGCAGTTTCTAGAATAACTATCTATAGTAACTGTACTTAGATTGGTTTTTCATGTTTAATTACCATAATTTTTTCATGAAACCTTCATATTTGGTGAATTTTGAAGTGGTTTAAATGATTCTAGAGGTGAACTTGGTAATACAGGTACAGGTATCCCCCGTTAGCTTGCAAGTTATCAAGTTTGCAATTTGTAGTTTAACGAGGTTTTAATTCATCATATTTTTCAAAAGTTAATGAAAGAGCCCCATAGGTTAGTAAATGCTCATATAAATTTTGTGTGCGCCTATAGATGGCGGGGCCCGCTCGACAGACACTAGCATCACCATGCAGCCAGTCTACACCATGTGTTAGTGAGTACGCTTTATTAATTATATTCTGCACATAGTAATTACTTTGTTGTGATTAAATTTTAATAAGCATTTTAAGAAAGTGTGTCTAAGAAAAAAATATTGAAAAATGGGTTTTAGACTAAAAAAAAAAGGTTGATTTTGGCCAGAGCCACAAAAAGATCCTGGAGAATTTACGTTGATTAATTATAACATCAAATGATACAAAGTTGTTTTGGAATACATCCTCATTAATTTATGAGGGATACCTGTACTGTACAGCACTTTACAAAAAGCTTGGATGTTTGATGAGATTAGGCCAATGGTGATTATGACAGTGAAAGAGGAAGCAAGGGACACTGACTGGCCTGACATGTTGAACAATAAGGATGTGGATACTTCTCAGAAAAATGTAGAGGGTAAATTTAAATACTAGATTGAAAAATACATAACCAAGACATAATTGACCGACCACCCAACAGGCTAATAAACTGCAGAGGATAAGAAAAAGGGGGGGGGGGTGTTCTAGTTGACGAGGGTGGCCTGGCCTTGGCAACAACTTGAAAAAATTTTCCCATAGAAGATATTATAGGGCTTCTCAAGAAAATGATTCAGTGTGCACGAGGAATGTGTTTTGCATAATAGTGTACAGATCAGTAACTGTTTTTATGTCCAAAATGGGCGGAGGAAGACATCAAACATGACTGCCATGCACACCATGTGTAGAAAGTAGGAAAGGTTTTTTTAGCATATTTCATTTTAGAAGAATAAATGGAAATGAACTACAGTATAGTACCTTTACAGGTATTTTAGTTAAATTTAGGTTAGGTTTGGAAGGTAAGTTTTCTTCAGTTTATGATCAATAATTTATAGACGATAGCAGTGTAAAAAATATGTAATTTATTTATTAATGTTATTATTTATCATTTTACCACTTATCAGCTTACTTGCCAGTGTTAGTACAGAGGAAACCGGAGTCTGGGAAACATGTGATGTTTGGTAGGGTCATGCTGTATAACACCCTTCTTAGATGTGCTCAGAACAAGCAAAATAACTAGTATATTAGGTTAAGTTATTTTAATTTTCTTTATTTTATGAATGATTATGCGGTTCAGTTCTGGTGCCCCTATTATAGAATGGATATAAATTCACTAGAGTCGGTGCAGCGAAGAATGACGAAAATGATTCCGGGACTTCGAAACCTTCCATATCAGGATAGGTTAAAGAAACTTAACTTGCATTCCCTAGAAAGACGAAGAGTGCGGGGAGATATGATAGAAGTATTTAAGTGGGTTAAAGGAATCAATAAAGGGGATATAGATAAAGTTCTTATAATATCCGAGCAGGATAGGACTCGGAGCAACGGATTCAAGTTGGATAAGTTTAGGAGGGAGATAGGAAGAAACTGGTTCACAAATAGGGTGGTGGACGAGTGAAACAAGCTTAGCAACTTTGTAGTAAGTGCGGGAACTCTGGAAAGTTTCAAAAGGAGGCTAGATAGATTCATGGATGATAGAGAGTGGTAGTAACTCTTGACAGGAGCTATCATGCACAGGCCAACCGGCCTATTGCAGACTCCTTATTTTCTTATGTTCTTATGTTAACTGACAGTAAACATGGCAGATGGAGAAGGAAAAGATGTAAAGAATTGTTAGTGAGATTGCACAAAATGCATTCCTTCCACATTTTGTGTCTGTTTCTTGAGGTAAGAAAACTTTTATCTTATAGAGAAAAATTTCCTCAAGTTCAAGCTAAGGCTAGATTTCACTTACTAAAAGATGCATTAACACTAGCTGTAGTTTCATCTTGCTTTATTGGTGATAAAATTTTTGAGGGCTGCAGTTGCTTTATATTCACAATTATATTTGCTGGAAATATATTTCATATCTAGTTTATAAATTAGGCTCATTCTAATACAGTACATATAATGGCCCCTCCCCCAATCACACCATTGCTGTAATTGACCAGTACTGTAACTACAAACTCGCCAAGCTATAGTGCAGAATGAATACAGTACTGTATACAGTACTGTATAAGGAAATACTTTTTCACACAGAGGGTGGTAGACCTATGGAATGGTCTGCCAACCTAAGCTGTGGAATCAAGATAGCCCTCAACAAAGTTATCAAAAACAATGGAGGGATCCTACACAGGCCACTGGCCCCCTTTCCTTGGCATGGCCATCTCTTATGAGTGGCCATTAGGTAAATAAGGTAAAATTGACCAACCAAAACCATTATTGCAAAAACAGTGAATTTAACAAAGGCAGCACAGTATTGGAACACTTAAAATGTTAAGGAATGTAAAGAAATGATGTACTATATATATATACAGTGTAACCCCGCTTTACGCGGTCAATTGAACCCGCAGAGGCCCACATAAAGTGAACAACAGAACATATGGGATTATTTGAAATAGAGACTGGGCCGACCCCCGAAATTCCACTTTTTCCTGACACAATATGTACGTTTTAGTAAAAATAACATCTTAACTTTATGATGGTATGCACACACACATAATATAGAAGAGAACAATCAATAAGAGAATAATATACTGTACCAGGTAAAAGAAAAATCAAGGTTTAACACATATGTCATGGTAGGTTAGGTTAGAAAAAATCAAGGTTTAACACTTATGTAAGGTTAGGTTATGTTTTAAAAAAATCAAGGTTTAACACTTACGTAAGGTTAGGTTATGTTAGGAAAATCAAGGTTTAACACTTACGTAAGGTTAGGTTATGTTAGGAAAATCAAGGTTAGGTTTAACAGTTGCGTTTGTAGAAGAGATGGGTCGGGGTACGGGAATGGAGGCTGGTTCCGAGGCAGAGGGCAGGCTACTGGCCCTCAGGTGAGTCACCATCACGGTCATCCACACTTGTCAGGGCCTCCCTGACAAATCCCTCAAAGTCACCATCACTGTCTCTGTCACTGGCTTGGGCTGGCTGTGGTGGGTTGCGGGCGAAGAACTCGGTAATGCTTTGTTGACGGCTAGTGTTGATGTTGCCGTGATACTCCTTGATGTATGGCTCCATAGTCTGCAACAGCTGGGTTCTTGGAAGACTTCATACCGGTTATCGTTAGGGTCGTGGGAAAGGAGGAGCTTCAGTTTCTCTACACACTCGATGGCACCCCTAACATTACCATGCGTTAACTTGTGTTCTTCTCGGGATGACGCACCTCCTGTCTCTTCACTGACGTCATCACATCAGGATCCCTTATCACCTCCATAATGTCGTCGTTGGTGGTCTCGGAGAAGCCTGCAGCTGTAACACTCTGCGCAGCTTCTCTGGCAAGGTCCGCTGCTACTGCAACAGTTCTGAACCTCACCAGTCACAGGTTGACTCTGCCTCCCACCTGGGATACCTTGCAACACATGTCTCCATGCGTGATGAACCGTTGCTACAGACAGCTGATCCCATGCCTCCACTTCTTGCTCTGCCAACTGTTGTTCCTCGTCCTCGTCACTCTTGCTATCGTTGTCACCCAGGTTACGCAACTCATCCTTGGTGTTGGTATCGTCGTTCAGGAGCTTAAACTTCTTTGCAGAGAATGCAGCTTTCACATTGCAGATTAATTCTTGGTCCATGGGCTGGATTAATGACGTAGTGTTGGGAGGAAGGAAGACCACTTTTACGTTGGGGTGACGATCCAACAGTAGGGGCGAGTGTCCTGGTGCGTTGTCAAGCAGCAACAAAATCTTAAATGGAACATTCTGTTGCTCACAGACTTCCTTCACTTCGGGAACGAAACATACATCAAACCAGGAGAGGGATAGAGTAGAGAACATCCACGCCTTACAGGCGGTCAGCCAGTGGACATTTAGCTTGGTCATGTCCATGTTCTTGTAGGCGTGTGGCTTGCGGGCTGTGTGGATCACCGATAACTTGAGTTTACAGGAACCGGAGGCATTGGTGGTAAAGAGGACGGTGATGTGCTCCTTCTGCAACTTCCGGTCCCGACACTTGCTGGCAGACTTGGCAACGAAGGTCTTGGAAGGTAGCTTTTTCCAAAAGAGACCGGATTCGTCCATGTTGAATACCTGGTCGTCGGTGTACTGTCCTTCCTCCATAATCTCGTGTAAGAACGGAGGAAATCCCTAGCCGCAACACGGTCAGCACTCGCTTCTTCACCACCAATGTTAATGTTGGTGATCTTGTTCCTCTTCTTAAACCTGTGCAACCACCCAGAGGAAGCATTGAAGGGTTTGGGCTCTGCAATTCCCATCTTACGTGACACTGCTGCGTACAGTTCACGTGCGTACTCCTGAACTGAGCACGTCGACCGCCATGTTCCGTCTTGCCTGACGAATCAAGTAGCTCGCAAGTAACTTCTCCGTCTTGAGAAGCACCTTGTTGTGGCAATACTTGATCATTGAAGCACCTGTAGACTTTGTGATGTTCATGTGTTCTTTTATCTTGGCTGCATCCTTCTCTATCGTCCGGACCGTAGAGTCGTTAACACCATGCTGGATCGCGAGATCAACCTGTCTTGTTCCTTTCTCCAACTCTTGGATGATCTTGTATTTAATTTCGTAGCTTAGGGAACGTCGTATCTTCTTTGGCTTAGGGCAGCTGGGTCCAGGTAATGCAAGGTTTCTTTGTGGTGGTTGTGGTCCGGTGGCAGCCATTCTTATGGAACTATAGATACCGATATACACGGTGTAGCCGGGAGGGGTGTAACTGATGCGGGTAGGTCAAGGGGCTTGAACGCTCCCGCAGCGGGGCACGTCATATTACATTAAACCAATCACAGCTAGTGGGGGAGGGAGGTAAGGATGCTTGGCCCAATCACAGTCCGATACGTCATATGACGTCACCGATAACGCAACAAAGACATACACTGCGCAACCTACTCGCGCTGCTTACCCAACATGGCGGGAGGTTTGAATCCAAAAATGGCGCGGCGCGAGATGACCGCCAGCTGCTCTCCGCGTAAAAGAGTACATGCACTGCGTAAAGTGAGTATCCCGGGTCTGGCAGGGCACCGCGTAAACATGGAAACGCGTAAAAAAAACCCGCATAAAGCGGGGTAATACTGTATACTGTATATATATTTTTTTTGTGGGGGGGGGGGATACTAAATGAGGAGGTGCCTGTCCCCCCCTTGATAAAATCCAGGTCTGATGGAATCATATGGAATTATCTCATGGTGTGACAGATTTCCTCATAAAACTACAGTATTTGCATTAATACAATATGACAGTGGATTTTCAAACTCAGTGTGCTGAGTTTGAAAATAAATGACACGGTATTTTTAAATGGTAGTATACTACTGTTACAGGTAGCACAAATGAATGTGAAATACAAGGAAATCAGTTTAGAAAGGCAATGGAATTTCTGTTTAAAGAAATTAATATTTTATATAACCATTCTATACTGTACAGTACACGAGTTCTGATTTTCTTTCCTTCAATGTAAACTGTGTTCTATCGGTGAGCCATGATTTTATCCAATTTAAAACTTTCCCCTCGATACCATGAGTCTTAACTTTTCTCAGAAGCCTCTGATGTGGTACTGTAGCACAATAAATAAGATGTCATCCTCTTTATGAGAAGACCCATGGAAAAAGATCAGAATATGAAACGAGTTATGACTCCTCTTGATTCGCTTTATTCTTGAGGTGAGAAGTAAGTTTTCCTCTGTATTTTTTTGTTAGGTAGCTGATTAACTCAAACCTTTGTCCTTAAATATCCCCAAAGTTTTATCCAGGACTCACAGTAAACTGAATTTTAACTTAATGACACTGTAATCATATTACTGAATACCTGGCGGGCAAACCTTTTCGGAGTGAGGGTTGTAAACTCTTGGAACAATCTACCAGAGTGTGTTGTGACGGCACCGAGTGTGAGCTCTTTCAAGACAAGACTTGACCAACACTGGAGCGGGTTCAGGTACATTCAGGAGCCGGTGCTTGCCCAGTATTTGCCAACAGTGCGTGACAGAGACGTGACCGATCGCCCGGGCGGCTAGCGAGCCGATCTTTTGGTGAAGAAGATAAATGAAAAGGAAAGGTTATCAGAGACGTGACCGATCGCCCAAGCGGCTAACAAGTCGATCAGTGGCGAAGAGGATAAAAGTAAAGTAAAAGTATATGCATGTGAAAAGCAGTGTCGAGTTGATGATCGTTATTTTCTGACCTGTGACACTTCAATATTAAATTATACAGTACTGTATATGAAATATGACAACAAGCAACCAGATCTAAAAATCATACAGTAAAGGTACTGTAATTTATTTTTTGTAGCTCGGTTAGTCTTGTTTCATATGAGATTTAATACCATAGTCTCTTGGCTTCCATTTTGTAAATACTTTACACAGTCAGTACTACCCAATTTATGGAAACTTAACATATGATTCTGAAGAATAAAGTTATTTTAACCACAAACATGTACAGGTATACAATACTGTACCTTGGTTACCATACATTTGCACTGGAGGATTCCATTTTTATGCTTAACAATTTGGGAACACATTTCACAAATCACAATCCATTTCTGGTTCAACATGATCAATACACATTTGTTTGAACATATCCTGGAAAAAGTTTCTTTGCATAGTACATACCCACCACAGTACTCAAATCTGCTCCAACATCCACTAACACATACACACACTTGTTGAACTTTGCTGTTCTTTCTATTTTTACTAGTGGCACCTCTTTCTTTCATGAGTGCAAAGCGAGCACTGACAAGTGTTTGTGATCAAAAGGTAAAGAAAATCTATTTTGTTAGAGGTGAAAATTGAACTAGATGAACTACAGGACCAATATGAGGAGGCAACTGATGACATACAATCTATTTGCTCACTGACTACAAAGACTTTCTGAAGCACACTGTAGACTAAGCCTTTGCTCTTGACTGCCTCCACTTCCCCAAGTTGTAAATTCAGGTACCCATTTACAGCTGGGTGAACTGTGAGCACCTGGGAATCGAACCACTGCCCCCCGGAATCGGAGGCGAGCACTGTCTCCATTCGACTGTCTTGCATTTATACTTATACTGTACAGTATATACCATATACAAATAAAGACACCACACCAGGCACGGAAGCATGTTGACAGCTGCTTATGGAGTGGTTATATAGTCCTCTCAAACTCGTGCTTGAATGTTGGTGCTCACTTTAAATTTTAAACTGGATTCTTATGTATTGCAGACTGTTTTATTTTTGAGCTTTCACTGCATTAATATTTATTCTTGTGTTATGCATACCCATACAATATATATATATATTTGTGGAATCGGTTATTTTGGAAAATGACCGGCAAGCATATTGGTAATTTAGCAAATTACCTTAAAAGAGAGAACCAAACCTTGTGGTTGAAGAAGGTTTTGTTAGGATTGTACATGTAGCTTGATACGCAGTTAAGTTTATTATTATTATTATTATTATTATTATTATTATTATTATTATTATTATACTATGTGCTGTCTTAACCACAAGGTTAGGTTAGTTTAGGTTGTTTGTTTGTAATTTATTTTGTAAAATTACCAATATGCATGCCAGTCATTTTATCCATGAAACTTTTCACTTATGTGTCTGTTGTGCTAATCAAGGAATACATGTACGTACATCTAATTCGTTTGTAAAATATACATAAAAATCTAGTATGCTTATATTTCCAAAGCATGACATTTTTTCCAACATATCAATGAATGCACTTTTGATGGGTCATGGGTAGACTTTCCATGATTCACTCCATAGCCATGATGAAGGTGCATGCAAATTTTACTGAAAGAATATGATAGCTATATTCTAGTGTATTTGACAGATACTATAAATATTCTGTACTGTAGTTGTAGTGGGGCATCTCAGAAACATGATAAATTTAAAGACTACTAAGATTGTATTGAGGGATGCTCGCTTTGACCAATCAAAGGCTGCAAAGGGACCAAAGTTTGCTGTCAGGTTAAAGTGAGATTGATGACTTTTAATAAATCAAATTAAAGAAAAATTGTATTGCAGATCAATCAGTTATGCTGGAGAACAATTCTCTGTCGATGATCCACCAGTTTGACCAGCTACAGGAGGAGCGGGTCCACAGTTACAGACTCTTGGAAGAGTGAGTATACTTGTACTGCACATTACAGTATTTATAAAACTTTAGTTCCCAAAATCGAAAGAATGTCCTACCCTGTCCATCTCAATCTCTGCCCTTTCCAAGTGTAAATTGTCTATCTAGTGTACAGATCATGTGTTTCTTGCAAGCTATTTTGTTTCTTAATGTTTTATGGCCAGATGCCCCTCAGTAGGAAGCCATTGGTCTATATCTAGAAGACCTAACAGTACAGTCCTGGCTTGTATTTAATCTTATGATTAATCTCCCTTCAAGGAGACTGTTGACCTGAAAGGGAGAATAAATGCAATCGTAGAAGGTAGATAACCTAAAGTAGCACTTGAAGTCACGTACGCAAGTGCACACCATTCCATTATGTTCGGATCAGCCATATTACACCTTCCACCAGACAGTTGGTTTCCTTATTCACAGCTGTGGATATACAGTACAGTGCATGCTTTGTCTCTGACTCTTTAGCACTAAACAAGGATTATCTTGACTATCATCAGGGTTAGTATTTTGATAAAAGCTTACTGTCTATAACCTTTACTGATAGAAATGTATAGCTTATCATAGCTTTTTTAAATCGGGGAAATGAATAAATTCAGGTTACAACATGTACCGTATACAGTACCTGTACTGTATACACAAAAGTATTATAAAAAGGCTGCAGGATTAACACAACAGGTTATTTATAAACAACTGGGGGTGGGTGGGCTACATGTGTTAGAGGCTGTGGGTGTGGCAAGTGAGTGAGAGGGGTCCGGTAACTGTTAGGCTCTTGGCAGAACAGGTTATGCCATGAGCCAGGGAATGTGTAAATATCCACGAATTTTGCACAAATCACAGTGAATGTTGTAAGCTGAATTGACCTGACCAAATGTGGCATCAGACAGGTTCTGAAATTCAGGTTCTGTTTTCTTTGTGCACTATTGTTGATAAATTGTGATCCTTAGATGGCAGATGGTGCTTTGTTGGTGTTATTTGAGGGCCAGTTTTGGCTAATGAAGTTGTGGAAATGAGATTTGTTCATGGCATTAGGAGTGAGGAGGTTAGTGGTAGGAGACTGCTCTTACTCCATATTTCATTCACAAACATTACTTTCAATTTCTGTGGAAAGTGCTGTGTGTAAGGTCAAGGGAAATCAGATTTTGGGACAATGGCTTGTGTTGCTCCATCATCCTGTACCATATTTAACTTACCTTTTTTGACAGGAGGACTACCTGTGGTCTATCCTGTCTTGAAACTCTTTCCCTTAATCTCTGGAACTTGTCTTTTTAATTGGTCTTTTGTGGTGCTTTCCATTGAAGGATGATTTGCATCATTGTCAGACTGTCATTGGAGTCAACCCCCTGTAGAAAAAAGTTCCAATCCATAATTTTGCAAAATTAGCAGTGGAGAGCATTACAAAACATATAGCCTCTGCTGAATTGGCAACAAGGAGAGCTTGTGTTACACTGTGCAAGCAAGTCTGTTAGGGATTTGGTAGAAAGGCTGACCTCTTCAGTCTTATGGGTGGGTCTCTTAGTAACACACGAAAGCAAACAGATGTCTCGGCTATGGAGTTCTTACGGGAACATCTTTACTAACCCAACATAAACTCAACTTACCTAATGCAATTTAGGTGTGGCAACATATTGTACCTTGTATGAACTAAGTTCCACTAAATTATAGCAAAAAAAGCAAGTTACAGTAGGCTCTCGCCAATAACGTTTAATAGGTGCCTGAAAAACTCCGTTATTAGCGAAAGCATTATTTGTGTGACATTAAAATATATGTAAAAAGGGTTTATTGGTGCCGCTGCCCCAAGAATTTCACCCAATTTTTCCCCTTAGAAGCCCTCCTAACACTTTTTGATTGCTGAAATAAAAAAAGAATTGTTATTCACTCATCAAAATATAGTTTGAGTAATATATGCACTTAGCTTGGGGGAGTTTTTGAGGTGCTTGGTGTGATGATTGTTCCGTATCTGAGGGCCGCTAACACTTGCACTGTCTTTCATTCTACAAGCTAACCATTTCACAAGAAAATGCTCTGTTATCACTATCAACCTGTTTCTATCACTTTTATCATTCATAGCTCGCCTTGCATTTCCATCACTACCGAAATATTTCTTAGCCAGTGCTATACTCTTCTTGGTCTCCTCTAAGTTTCTCTTAATATTTCGCACTGTAGATTCAGGACAGTTCAATTTCCTCACAATATCGATGTTCCGTGCACCACTTTCAATGAGCTCAACAATCTGTTCTTTTTCCTTGACCGAGTAGGCACGCTTCTTGTAGCTTTGTCTCTTAGATTTGGGGTCTTTTCTCATTCATTTTAAAAGTTCCCGGGCGTTCAGGCAGCAAATCACTCCTGCCACCACCTCCCCTAACCCCCACAGGCAAAAATGCGGAAGCCATTATTGATCACCGACCCTAGCAACCACTGGTTATAGAGGAGAAAATCTCACATATGGGCGCAGCGCTGTATTCCACGGAGCGTGTGTGAGAGTGAGACTGAGCGGACAACTACGTCATCAACATGGCGGCAAACGAACGCTATCATTGGTGCGCTCAGACGCTTCCCGCAAAATCTCCGTTATTCAAGAGAATCCAGACGTTATTATCGAAAATGGGTATCTATAGTAACTTACCGTTATTGTGGAAGTCGTTATTGGCGAGAGCCTACTGTACAGTATTCCTATTTGGTGAAAATGTATTTTTAGGGTTTAATAGGAGACACACACACATATATCTACAAATTAGGCCCCTCATACTTTATGTAAAGTCCTGTTAACACCACTACCACACCCTTGTCTACTGTGAAACAAGACAGTGGTTTTCTGGATGACGGTGTTGTCGTTCTAGTAAAATCTACACACAGTACTGTATCAAGAGGCAATCAGTAGATGCATTAAAAAGACATTGTCTTGGGATATGTTGCCTTGCATATTCAAATTAGGTTCCAGGATAAAACTAAAGAACAAAAGTTAAAAGTGAGATATGGGTTGCTGTCCCCACCCTTCCTTGCACAGTTAGACTGTATTGTTTGTTGCATATTTGCCTTATATATATCTTATCTTTAGAAGGGCATCTGTGTTTCCAGGGAGGGATGGGTGATTGTAAGATCAGTGGTTTAGTTTACTGCCCTAGATCCCCAAAATGATTTGTGTATTAGCAAGAATCCTATGAAATGGCTAATCCTCATATTTAGGTATCGGTGATGTACATACTACATATCTTTTCAAATATGGTACTTACAGACCTGCTTTTTGTTGTGCTCTCTAAGATGTATGATTTTTGAGAAAAGTGATACATTTGTGAAGAAAATTTACATTTTTTATTTTCTCATTGTTCAGGAAATAAAAGTGTATATCTACTTCTCATTTTCAGTTGATGTTATTCTTACATTACACTCATCTTACAGCTGGTAAACAAGGTAAAAATTTGGTAAAGTGTAGTCTTTTGTCATATATGGTAACAGGTGTGAAGTTGGTAGGAGTAGTTAGTGTGGTAAACTCTTGGAACAATCTGCCAGGGAGTGTTGTGACCGTACCAAGTGTGAGCTCTTTCACTGGTACAGATACATTCTGGAGCCAGTTCTTGCTAACAGTGCATAACAGAGATGTGACTAACCGCCTAAGTGGTGAGCAAGCCGATTAGTGATATGGATAAATATAAAGTAAAATTGGTTAGCTTTAGTCAGTCATTGTGTGGCTAACCTTGCATGGGAGGAGTGGGAACGTGCCACTTGAGTTTCCATATCTGTTTTCTCAATGTATTTTTGCGGCTATTTCGTGGTGAGGTGGGGTTATGACATTTTGTAGATATGGGGCTGGATACTCAAAAGTATCTACAGTCTGCACGGATTGTGAGGTCAGTTTGCTGAAAAAATATGCATATTTACGATTATGTTATATAAATAAAGTCAAGTAACACCACTTCAATTAATACTTTGTAGTGTTTCCTCTGCACTTCAGACAGTCTTTTAGCCTTCGAGGAATACTGTCAGCAAGGTTTTGCAAGAGGTCAGGTGGCAAGTTAGCCCAGGTATCCTTGATGGCTGCCTCTAGCTTCGGGATTGATGATGTGTCAGCGTCGCGCAGACGACGCTTAATAATGGACCACAAATTTTCTATTGGGTTAAGATCTGGGCTACTGCCAGGCCAGTCATTAAAGAAAGGTGCCTCACAGTCTTTGAGCCACTGTATGACACTTTTAGCAGTGTGGCATGGGGCACCGTCCTGCATGAAAAGGCTTGCCTTAGCGTTATCAAATGATTCAGGTAAGAAATCACTGAGCAGTTCAAGATAGTTGTACTGATTCATCATCTGGTTCTTAGGGAGGATTACTAGTTCACCAACACCATAATACGTAAAGGAAGCCCAAACCATAAGCGAGGCAGGGTGCTTAACAGTGTACTGTGGGAGGTGCGCGTCTGAGTGGGGCGGGCGGTACACCGTCCCACCACTACTCCCAGTCACAGAAAACGTAGCCTCATCCGACCACAATACACTCCTCCATGTCTCTAAATCCCACACTTCATATTTCTTGCAAAATTTCACTCTATTTTCCTTCTGTCTCTTCGTCAACAGAGGTTTACGGCGGGCATGAAAGCTCTTAAATCCCAGGTCATCGTGCAGGGCTTGTTGAACACAACGTAACAAGACGGGGGTTTCTCTCTTTCACTTCACGTGTTGTGAGTGAGGGATTGGACCGAACTTGTCGAGAAATAACCTTAAGTGTCCGTGGAGACAATAATTTAGGCCTACCAGACTTAGAGCTGGTAACTCGTCCTCTCCAAGGTCACGGAAACGTTTGACAAGATTTTGAACAACTCGTAATGCCACACCAGTCTGAGCCGAAATTTCTCTCAGTACATGGTTCGCTTTGTACAATGCAATCACTGCTGCAATATCGTCTCTTGTAGTAACCCTCCTGGACATCTCTGATGGCCACTATGTCGGGTTAATGCACCTTAAACTAGACAAAACACGGCCACATGGTGCGGGAACCCGCACAATAAATCTTCCCCTCAGTTGCCAGAGGCGCACTGACTACAAACCATGATGTGTGCTCAGTTGCCAAATGTCACCACTTGCCAGCAAACCAAGCGTTTTGACATCTCGCATCACAGGACAGCCTTCACGACATGTGATCTTATTTTTGCGAGAACTTATTTCGTCGGCCTTATCGCGATTTAATATTCTGCGCAGACTGTACAATATTTTATCTCCCAGTTGACTCTCGAGGTTGTAAGTCTTCTCTGTAGCAATACTCAAAATATCCGCCATCTTGTGACATAACATATTGTATCTGGAGGCCATAACTTCCAGGGCTCCTGTGACGGAATAAACCCGGACATAGTGTGTATACTTGTATTTTCAGATTGCATAAACCGTATATGCCTATTGTTTAAGTACAGTATTAATATTTCTTGTAATACCTACTATATTAACAGTACCTGCTTTTATTGTACCATCAAAACCGTTTTATCGGAAATTATCATGTAAATAGATAAGAAATTACCATTGCAATACCGGTAAACTTATTTGCCAACGACATAATCCTGACAGCTCTGTCCTCTTCAATCTTAATGCTGTACAACCCATGTTGTACTGCTCCCCCATTTTGCTTATATTTTTCAATTCCACTGTAATTTATGTATATGCTTATAAAAAACAACTAAAAATGAAATAAATAAATATTGAAGTGATAACCGTGGTAACATTATGAGGTGTTCTTATTATCACCATGCTATTGTACTATCCAGATGTTACTAAATGTTACATAATACTTCCTTGAGATAAATGTATAGTATATATCAGGAGCCTAAAAGAGAGCTCAGGTTCTCAACTGGCTCAGCCATGTTAATATTGTTATTATTATCCACTCTGTATGTGTGTTTTTCTGGCTAAATAAACTTTCAATTGAAGCTATGATAATTCTTATTAAAGCTGTTTTATCAGAAAATACTAGAGAAAATATCTTTCGTATATAATTTTAATGGAAAAATGATGTTAAAAGATAAAATATAATCAGGTAAGAATATTATACTGTATTGTTAACAGACAGATGTGTTCTTTGTTTTAGCAGACAAGATGGAGTTGATTGATGTAGTATATTAAAACGAGTGAGCTTAGCGACGTGAGAGGAGGTACTGAGACCCTTTGGACCCTCATATAAGTGATGTACCATTGTTGGGGTTTTACATATTTCCTCAAATTGAAATAATGAAGCTATGTAAGGAATTAGGGCATAGAACGGAGAGGTCACAGCTAGGCTGTACTCTCTCGCCCTGCAATTGTTTTTAATATTTGTATTTTGCATATGGTTTTTATTAATTATAAACTGTGCTACTAATTTCT